TCACCGGATGGGGGCTTCTTTGCAGCAGGTCGCTGTCTTCCTCGTTCTGCCCAGTTTCTACTGAGTAAACCCAGGCCTGAGGCGAACGCGAAAGCATTCCTTTTCCAAGTAGGGCCTGGGGAGGGGCGAGCCTTGGAAATCTAAAACAGTGGCCCCAAGAGTCTTTAAATTCATCCATTCGACAAGTATTTGTGTATTTGTTTACGTGTTTATGTATTTGTTTATTTGTTCATTTTTGAGTCAGAGTCTCGCTGCGTTGCCCAGGCTGGAGTGCAGAGGCACGTTAACGGCCACCGCAGCCTCGACCTGCTGGGTTCAGGCGATTCTTCCGCCCCGGCCTTCCAAGTAGCTGGAACTACAGGCATGCGTCATCACTCCTGGCTAATTTTTTTTATTTTTTGTAGAGACGAGGTCTCGCCAAGTTGCCCAGGCTGGTCTCGAACTCGTGGGCTCAGGCAATCCTCTCAGCTCGGCCTCCCAAAATGCTGGGATTATAGGCGTGAGCCACCGCGCCCGGCCTATGTATGCGTTTGTTTATATAATTTTTTGCATCGGGATCTCACTGTGTCTCCCAGGCTGGAGTGCAGTGGCACAATCATGGCTCACCACAACCTCAACCTTCTGGCTCAGGCTATCCTCTTGCTTCAGCTGGGGCTACAGGCGTGAACCATCACATCCACCTAATTTGTTTTATTTTTTGTAGAGACAGGGTTTGGCTATGATGCCCAGGCTGCTCTCGAACTCCTGGGCTCAAGCAATCCTCTCGTCTCGGCTTTCCAAAGTGCTAGGATTACAGGCATGAGCCACCTCACCTGGCCCAACAGGTATTTTTTGAGCACTTACTCGTACCAGGTACTTTTTAGGAGCTGATTCTCCTCCTTTGAAGCAGGGGATAAAACAGTTATTGCCCTAAAGGAGTTCAGAGTCTAATGGCACCAGCTGGCCAAAGGAAAAAATTACATTATGAGAAATACAGGCACTACTCAGCGGTGTATGAGGCAATGCTAATGACAAAAAGAAAGGAAGTGCAGCTGGTCAGGAAGGCTTTGAAGAGGATAGAGACTGTGGGAGATGGAAGGGATGGGCGGAGTTCAGGGCTTGGGGTTAAAAGGCTTTTTACACAGAGAGAAGAGTATACAAAGACATATAAAATAAGAAAGAACTAGTCTGTTTTGGGGAGATGTACTTTTCTTTTTTTTAGTTGGAATTTCACTCCGAGGCCCAGGCTGGAGTGCAGTGGCATGCTCACAGCCACCCCAGTGTTGACCTGCTGGGCTCCGACAATCCTTCCGCCTCAGCCTTCCAAGTAGCCAGGACTACAGGCATGTGCTACCATGCCCGGCTAATTTTTGATTTATTGTAGAGATGAGGTGTCGCCAAGTTGCCTGGGCTGGTCTCGAACCCGCGGGCTCAGACAATCCACTCACCTTGGCCTCCCAAAG